ACGATTTTAAGAAAAAAAAACCATAGACCTCAAACAACCAACAGATAAGTAAGCTCAGAAATGAGATTACTACCACAGGGAGGAATTGCATGAAAACCAGAAGGTAGGACATATTAAATGGATATGTGCTGAACAAGGGAGTGAAAAAGAGTAAGAAGTCAGAATTGTGGCACAATGGGGCATAAGGCAATCCAGGCAACAAGACAACAGTTGGGCTTCTACAGCTATAATGTACAGAGGAAGAAAATTAAAAACTGTAAATACTAATTTTGAGAATTTGATGTCACAAAAATATCTAAAAAGTGCAGCCAATTAAACAAAATGATTTCTTGATAGGAGCTAGGAGGCAGCATCAAGCTTTATTTCAGGTCCTAAGCTACAGTCATAAAGCTTTTATACTTACAATGTTTGTACAGTTCAGGTGTTCCCAATCTATGATGCATAAAAAGAGCTCTGGACAGGCTTACAAGCTGCTAAGACGAGCACAATGCAAGCAGTCTGCCAGAGCTGGAAGAACCAATGCTTTCACAATTAGTGTGTTTTTTAAAGAAGAGGCAGGCAGGCAACGGCCTGAGGTAACCCACCAGCAGGGAGCAAGAGCAGCTGAGAGAACCTATGCCAGTAGCTTATCTTTCAGTCCCTTTGTGCTACTGAGCTGTTCTGTATGTCCTTCAGCCTACACAATTTGTAGGCTGAAATCCCAATGGAGGTGTGGGAGCAGGGTGCAGTTAAAGGACATGCAGGAGATCTTGTAACACATATACAGAGGCTGCCCAGGGCATACCTAATGGTTGTACACAGGCAAACAAAGTTTGGGAACCTCCAATTGCTAAAATATTTGCCAAATATTCATAAATGAACAGAGGATAAACAACTATCATACAAACGCTGAGCCACAAGCGGAACTTCTTTCTCTATGTCTTACTTCTTAAAATCAGGCTTTTCGATCAGGATTGGCGCAGTCCCCAACAAATTCTAGATATCAGTGAATTAATCCATTGACCTGCAAACTAACATTTAATATAATTCAGTTTCTCTGAGTATTATTAGCATATGCTCTAACTGTGGAAATTTTTATAGGTTCACAACACAGTTTAGTTCTTGCATTTTTTATTTGCTGCCTTGATTCTTAAAATTCCCATTATAAGATCTTTAATGTAATCATTCTAGGGTTGAGCTCTTTTGCGTTATCTGCCTTAGTAAAATCAGATTCATTTGCACAGATATAAGCAGCGGGTTTAGGTTATTTAACCAATTTTGAAGGATAGCCGGGTATCAGACCTCATGGACACTTCCATACATGTATTTCTGAAAGTTCAAGTATTATTCAAGAGACCACTGTACATCTTAACAACATACTACATACATGCTCACTGAAAAAGTAACTCAACATTGGCAAATATGCGCACACAGCTATAATATACGCCACGGCTATATAGTGTATATTGTAATCTTGAAGTGGTGATTACGTGATGGCTATCATGCATCAAATTCTTGCTATCAGGCACGCCACTGAAATGGTACAATGCATGACTTACCTTCTGAGTAGCCAAGATGCTGTGCTTTCTGCTTCCCAACTTTTAACATTTCTTTGTTAATGTCACAGACCACCACTTGGGAATCCCCTAGCGACTTAGACTTGTCTTCCTGGTAACTCTCAGAAATTTCCTGCCATGATAAATTCTGATGGTGCTTAAGCTTCTGCTGGAGCTGGCGTTCTCGCACAGAGCGAACATAATTAATAAATCGAAAGGCGATGTCACCTGCATTTATTTTAAAAGAAAGATACATGTTTTGAAATGTTTTTGGACTCCAGGAAATCGGAACATAAGGCTTTGAACATCAAACTGAGTTAATTTATATATATTTTTATATTTACACATATAAAAATAAAAATCACACACAGAGTATAGAGAGACAGAGAGAGTATGTGTGTATATATACACACATAAATATATAAAGGGAACACATTAAAAACAAAGAGTCCATGACTTCCTATAAATGGAAACAGTCTTCCGTAACATATCATAGCACTACTACAACTCTTTCAGAGTCCTGGAGCAAGACATTACAAAATACAAAGAAGTTAGCTCTCAACCCTTATCTGTGGAAATCAAGTGGATGCTTCACCAGTTTTAAAAACAGGGAACTGAGGAAAAAGAAAAAAGGGTAGGCAACTTAATTCTGAGCAGACTCAGTTCAAAAACAGCATGGCATGTTCATGTGGAACTCACCAAAATTATTTACCTGTTCCTCCAGCAACATCAAGAAGAAGTGTTCCCGGGGAAGGGTTCATTTTATGCACGAGGATATCCTTCCACACTCGATGAATCCCTAGAGTCATCGAATCGTTCATTACATCATATTTCTTGGCCACACTTTCAAAGACCTTGTAAACTGCAAAGAAAGGACGCAAGAATGAGATGCAATTTACTTAGAAAATGCTCCTGTTGAAGTAAAATATGTCCTTTATTTCCTCATGATGGTCTGCCACCATGCGGAACTGCAAAAATACCACCTGAAAACTCCTTACAAGAAATACGATGGAATCCTACTGAGCCTGTTGCCTGACAAACGTCTCTGGAGAAACACAGCCTCTTGCCGTAACCCTTCCAGAGCTGAGGGGGAAGAATCGAGCTGGCACAACACTGATACTACCAACGGCCCAGCTCCAAGCACATCTGCACCACCCCTTAGCCCCCACAACCGATGGGCGCCAGCTCCCCGGAAGCCCCATTAGGTCCCAGCCCGCCCTGCCCCGGGGCGCCGCACTGCTCCATAGCGGACCCCGCCGCCCTCACTTTTCTCCCTCCTTTCCGCCTCCGTCACGGTCTGGAAACCGAAATGCGTCTCCGGCGCCGCAGCGAGGCCCCGCACGGAGCCGCAGAGCGCCCGCAGAGCCCCGCCGCG